GTGCATTTGCTTGCTTCCTTTTACTTTTCTGTATTTGATACCACTGATACCATTTAAGACCCGATATACTAATATCTTTACCCTCCGAAGTTGAAAGCCATTTAGGACAACGTGGTTTGATGTCGTCACCATTACACTTTCAACTATTCTTTTGTCGAATATGATTTCCTACCACTGCATTTGCCAGTTCCAACTCTGGCACATGTTCATCCAGCTCAGCAAGTTTAGTCTTAGTTGTTCTCGCAGACTGAAACACTTCAAACAAGTTTGGGAACTTATCCCTTTTCGTTAAATTCTCGATTGTAGTGTGGTATTCTAGAGACAGACTCCGCATCAGAATGACTGTTTGGATAACATCAGGTATCGCTGCTTCAGGTTCTTGGGCTACGATCTCCGAAGTGAGGCCAACTATTCGGTCGTATTTTAGCTTCATTGAACTTATTTTCATTGACTGGACGGCAAGGAGCTGCGATAGTAGCCGCGCGAGGAGGACTACATCTTTCATTCCATACCGATTAATGAGGGTATTGAATGCTTCCGATGCAGTATGGCAATTTTGTTACTAGCGTCAATACTTTGAAGAATCATATTCAATACCTGTGCCAGTTGGTATTCGAACTCTTCTAGCTGCTCTTCGAACCAGCTCTTCCTTGTCTCCGAAGTATTGTTTCCATCTTGATAGGAATACATTTTTCCACCACGAAAAATTTCTTCAGCCTTTTAGCGGCTAGTTCGACTTTGAGGTTACTCTGCCATTGAGTAAAAATTTTAAGGCCAGTGTGTAAAGTTCCACCGTATTTACCCATCACGCGATATTTAATTTTAAAAGAAATACTGAACAATTTGCCTTCAATACGAGGATTTTGAAGAATTATAAATTATATAAGTACAGCCCGTTTTACCCCTAAGCGTAGAGTGTTTAAGTGAGTCAATCTGCGAATTTATGGAAGCGCAAGGGTCATTATAACCTGTTGTATGTGTTTATTATCCTATAGTCTATGACTATGTAAGGACACATAGTTCCTTTCTGCGTACAGGCCAGGAGTATCTATGTTTCGGGTAGCGTTCCCCCTCCTATACCCCCTTCACCGCTTCTCTCCAGCAGTAATACCCCACAGGTCTTCATTCGAGTACACACTAAGAGGAGCCGTTATTGTTATGCTCAGCTATGTAGTATGGTAGATCTAGTTGCTGGCACTTAGGTAGTTATTATGGCGATATGATATTATGGCGCATGAAGAAGACCCAGTCTCTACATAACGGCATTTTAAGTATTACCGGATGTAGTATAATGGATGGGTTGTTGATATAGAACAAGTGGTAAAGTTGCTCATTTGGGAGCACAGTTTGTTGCGCTGTATACTGGTTACGTGATCGTTCTCCAAGCGAACTGGCTGGGGTATATATATAAATATAATTCATTTTCCTGATTTGGCGCCTTGAGGCCCATGCAGGTTTTTTATCGGAAGATATGTACTTTAAGTAGGATGACTCAATTTGACGATTAGAACACTCACACTCAGATTTCATTTGCAGATACTACTCGAGGTAAACCCTTACGACGTATAATCTCTTCCGTGCATACCCACCACAGGGAAAAACGTGAAAAACCTATGGTTGTCCGAGTGTGCTTTCATCATCCCACAAGTACAATATCACCGCGAGAGAGTGTGGTGTGTGGGTCTTACTGGATTCGAACCAGCTTTCTCCTGTCTCGAATGGGTTAGGTGTTCAAGCTATCCAGAGTCTACATGGGAGAACGTCCTGGATGGTGTACCACTGCACCATCCAACCATGGCGGTGTTTATAGTGTCGCCTGCACTCTCGCAACCGAAGCCTTGGCACGCACAAAGCTCAATTTGTAAAAACTTCTTGCCAAAATTCGAAATTTCACGCTCGTCGAGTTTGTATCCCTCCTTTGCATCATCTTGTGAACTTGTCCTAATCCCTCTCAAGTCCATCCCAAAGAGCTGTCTCCCAGATTTGTGCGCCACGCTTTGGTCCCTCCGTCGGGTGTAAATATCGGCGTGGGCGTGAATTTGGCGACAGGCTGAGGCCAGAGAAAGTTGACAGGTGGTGTGATCATTGGAACGAGTATGTACTAGGTCGTCCTCGTAGACTTGATGAGGCTTACGTAGGAATCGGACTCTTTCGGAGTGAAGATTTGACGTGGTGGAGTTATTTGAATCATTGCCTCGTGGGCCAACTTATTCGGTATTGCGAAATTTGGCTGAACTTGGCTCTGAGAGAATATTTCACTCCCAGGTTCGTAGAGGACACCGCGTACAGGTGTCCAGTCACTTCCCTCTCCTTCTGGTTTGTAAACAAATGGAAATGTATGTCAGAGATACAGATTATGTCCTAGAAGATAGAACGTGGAACCTCTAGTGTCGCATTACATGATTCGCTTAGTTACGAGCCGTGCACTGTGTGGACGACAGACGCATCAGTCAGTTATCAGTGAGTAATGTAAGCGACGAGTCGTGCAGCTGATCTGTCAATTGAAAGAGAGAGGGAGAGGTATGTTTATTGTACTCTTTTGTCTATGACTATCTAGCATATTAAGCTCGTCTCTGGTCCAGGCCACACCTTTTACAGTGCTTCTTGCCTCTTATATTCCTTGAAATATTATTAGTATATTTTCCGTGATGAATAGCCATTCAGCTCAGTATTTACCCGTGGAATTCGGCCACCTTTTTCACGGAACCTTCTACCCCCCAAAAAAAATGGTAGCAATGGAAACTGCGTGCGCGGGAAAAAGTCTCAAAAACCTGCAGCCCCAGCTAGGCGAGGCCTAGACACCAGTACCACATGAGGTTCGCATATTCATCTATATCTCCCTTCTTTGTAATAGTAGAGGTCGACTTGATCCAATCCACCATGGCCGTATCGGGTGCTGTGTACGCTCCGAAAACTCATTGGATGACTTTTCCTCCATGATGATAGTGCTAGAGGGATGTGTTGAGGGATAAAGACGATACAGACTGCGGAAGCGATTGGGAATCCTCGTCGAAGTGAGGACTTTGTTACTCAATCTCGGCTCTGCTGACTTTACAGTGAGAGCTGAAGGTTCATAGGAGACACCACTGATAGGTGTTGAGAATTGCCCTCACGATCGTCGAGGACATGTTCATTTTCTAGATAGTAGGAAATATATTTACAGATCATAAGACAAGGAGGACAAGAATCAACCAAAAAGGAATAACTCTCAGTATCCATAAATACCTGAGCGTGGCCCAGAGCAGTATAGCCATGCAGATATGAAGCGAACACATCGGATCCAGTCCCTATCTGCACAGAAGAAAAGTTCCAGGATTAAATAATCCACGATGCCAATGTGGATATCCGTCCTAAAATGCGAAGCACATGATGACAACCTTCACCAGCTGGGTCAAAGGAAGAGGAGAAATACCGAGAAAGGCAGAGAATCGGTCATTTGAGGCACTGATGAAAAATGCTAAAGATATAACGAGGATAACATGGTGGATCCAGCAGGAAGGACAACCAGAACACAATCGACTGACAGTTGAAGTCGAAGCGGTAATTAGAGGTTTAGAAGAAGATAGAAGGAAGAAAATCTTCTACAAGTCACAGGGGAGAGAACGGTATCCGCACTGGACATGACAGTGTCATTGTACCTCTTGAAGGTAACACAATATCGAAGTGTAGACAAATTGAAAAGTTGAGTGTGTTTTATCCACAAAGGTTTCCCGCTATGTAAATAATAAACTTTGTAGACACCTGCATGAGCTCATAGAACGCCAAACTGGGCTAAATGAAATCAAATTCAAGTAAATACATTGTTAAAATAAACTTATTCTGATCACTTGCATAACTTGATAAAAGACATCACACAGCAAATATAAGGCGTAGATAAATCAGTATTGAATTGATATCCCACAGTGGTGATATGAGTTGGGTCTTATAGAAGTTCCCATCCACCAAACTGTGGTCCACAAATCTACTCCATTCTAAACGTGTCTCGTTCTCTCGTATAACTGAGAAGTACTCTGTCAATGACTTGAGTCACCGAAGTATGACTGGTCCTTCACTTAAAATAGGGGGACTATTCTCAACATCTGCTAGTGGTGTTCCCTTGTAGCCTCTAGATCTCACTGTAAAGTCAGCAGAGCCGAGATTGAGTAACAAAGTCCTCACTTCGACGAGGATTCCCAATCGCTTCCGCAGTCTGTATCGTCTTTATCCCTCAACACATCCCTCTAGCACTATCATCATGGAGGAAAAGTCATCCAATGAGTTTTCGGAGCGTACACAGCACCCGATACGGCCATGGTGGATTGGATCAAGTCGACCTCTACTATTACAAAGAAGGGAGATATAGATGAATATGCGAACCTCATGTGGTACTGGTGTCTAGGCCTCGCCTAGCTGGGGCTGCAGGTTTTTGAGACTTTTTCCCGCGCACGCAGTTTCCATTGCTACCATTTTTTTTGGGGGGTAGAAGGTTCCGTGAAAAAGGTGGCCGAATTCCACGGGTAAATACTGAGCTGAATGGCTATTCATCACGGAAAATATACTAATAATATTTCAAGGAATATAAGAGGCAAGAAGCACTGTAAAAGGTGTGGCCTGGACCAGAGACGAGCTTAATATGCTAGATAGTCATAGACAAAAGAGTACAATAAAAACATAACATCACTTCGATGATTGTAAGCCCTTTGTCAAAAATGGATTATATAAGCACTAAATGTGATCATGATTAATTATGATGGCTCGGCTTGAGCGTATCAAGCCCTCATGCGCATTTGTAACGTTAACAAGGTGACACAAATTTTCATTGCTAAATGTAGTCATGATAGTTCATTCGCGTACAATTAACTAATTAAAAACTAAGATGTCATCAGATCTAATTTTTTCACCATTCAGAATCAGAAATCTAAAGTGTTAGCTATATTGGTTCATGTGGGTGCCATTGAGAACCTAATTCACTCCCCTATTCTTGTGCCAAAAAATTATTCTTTACCAAGTTCAGCTCAAGCATGTCGGATAAGGAAAATGATTATAATACACCTAGTTCGGAGACTAAAGAGCTTCAACCCGAATTAGAGAAAGTCGAATCAGTGATATGGCCAGAGATCAAGGATGGGAGTGCTGATCATAGTAAGTGATTTAATATGAAATAGAGTTATTTCAGCAAGTAAAATTCCAAGGAATCTTCGCTTCATGATCTTAGTCCAAAAACCCAAGAAAATAAATAATCAAGTAATTCTGACGAAATAGTAGATGATAATTCCCTTCAGAAATTTAACCTAGGATATAGAGCTCGACGCGGAGAGCTTGCCTTGGAAAACGAAAGATTCTGTACATTTCAGTCGATAAAGGATTATCCTTATCAATATATTGGCAATACCAATAGACAAAAAGTTGTTGATTCTTATTTCGGTCAGGGCAAACTTTACAACCAATCTTGGGAGCTGTAAGGCTATAATCTTTCTATCTGATAGGATATCTTAGGCTTATATCTTCAGCTTTTACATTTATGAATTAAATGAAGAAGCCCAGAACCCAATTATTCTTGTAACTACTCGCCAACTAAATCAATTTTTTGAGAAGATTAACACCGATTTAAAAATTAAACTTACTATTCCCAGTGGATCCAAAGGAGCCTTTGAGGTGAAATTTGAAAATGGAATGCCTCGACCACGATATCTGGGCAACGCCCAGAGCAAGAATACAGTTGAAGAGCTACTGCTGAATGTACCCTTGAAAGACGACTATCTAAAGGGAGAGCACGAAATTTTTCCGAGGGAAAACGAAAAACTTATCCAAGAATTTAAAGACAAACTTTTCCTTATTTCTAATCCGTCATCTGGAAAAAAAGGGTCCCGAAAAAAAAACAATAAGGAAAAAACTACAAAAAAAAAGCAAGCCTGGAACCATTCAATAAAACGTGTCCAGAGATATCTTGGTATCCGGCTGTCTAGTACCGAGCAAAGTAGCGCTCAGAATGATACTAAAGACTCCGACCCTAATCATAGTCGTCAACATAGCTCCAGACAAATAGCTGAAGATCTAACTTCTAGTGTCTATTTTGACCCCGAAAAGCCAGCGGCTTTTCCAACTGAGGATTCAGTTGTATTTATTTGCGTGGATGTCGAAGCCTGGGAACGTAACTCCAAGATTATAACTGAAATTGGTTTTGCTACACTTGACACAAAAGATATCGCATCAATAGCTCCAGGAGAACGAGGGACGAATTGGATGAAAGCAATTCGTCCTCGCCACTTTCGTGTAATCGAGCACAAAGACTACGTCAACAAAGACTTTGTCACAGGTTGTGCTGATCGATTCGAATTTGGGTCAGTTCAGAAAATATTATATTGATTTGAAGACTAACATTTTCACTTATAGCAATAGCGAATTTATAAGCCTAAAAGACGCACCACAAGTTGTATCGTCTTGCTTCAAGCATCCATTTTCTAAGATAGAGGAGATCTCAGAAGATGAACATACTAGCCGAAAAATCGTTCTTGTAGGTCACGATGTCTTGTCGGATGTCGTGTATCTCCGGAAACTCGGCTATGATGTCTTCAATCTTTCCACCTTAGAAGAGTTGATAGATACTGCAGAAATGAATCGTTATTTAACACGACAACTCAATCCACAGAATTTGGGGGCTGCTCTTTACGGATTGGGGATAACTGCGTGGAACCTTCACAACGCAGGAAATGATGCCGTATATACATTGCAAGCAATGATTGCATTAGCTATAAAGCAAGTAACTGAAAGAGAGAAAAAAAATCGTGCTGACACTGAGTATAATCCCCATTCGGAAAAATAAACTTAGATATATTTCGACAAGACTGACTATTAGCAGAGTTACTCAAGGACCAGCTAGTAATAGGATAGACGAAGAAGGTTGGAGCACCTCAGGAAACCTCAGCGATGGGGGTGAACCACAGCTGATATCACTAATAAAAGCCAAGCTAAATGAGGAACAACAAAATTCTAGCAAGATCAAGTCCTCAACCCCAGCAAAAGTTACAAGTGAGCCATGGGAAAAAGATTCTCCTATCAAAACAGCATCAATTTCAAGATCTACGTGGAATCATAGGTCTAGCACTGGCAAGGAATATTCAAATGGTGGTAAAACTCGCACTGATAATCAGATTCAATCATCCTCGAATAGAGGTGGTGGACAGAATCCGGGGCGAGGACGAGGAAGAGGAAGAGGAAGAGGAAGGAGAGGGTTAGTGTTAGAAGAGAGTAGGCAAGCTTGGAGATGAGGAGAGTAGATTTATAGTTAAATAAAAACAGGTTGTTATGTCACAATATTGGGCTTACTTACCATAGCAATGATGAGAACCGGTGATGAATCGAAGATACAGCAACACCTGAAAACAAAGGGAGTTCAAATTTAGTCAAGATTTAATTTTTAATCATTAGAGCAAAAGGTTTGAAGTTTATTCTGCGAGGCAAAGTATGAAAGTGACAGTATAAGGTATCATAGGAGAAACTGAGGCAGTATCTTGGGAATGGGCTTTAAGATTTCGGAAGAATAGATGATTTTTGGGATAGGAATAGAGTAGCATAGTTTCAGAAGCTAGGATTGAATGCTCGTCGACAATTTATCTTTAAAAAGTACGGATGATTTGTCACATGTAATGGGGGTTTTTTGGTATCAGACTTTAATTGTGAATGCAGCTACCTGGCTGACACCACATCACAGATAAACTGTAGAATAGCTAATTCAATTTAAAAAATAGAGCAATCATGCCTCAAAATTCATTTGCAAATACCACTACGAAACTATGGTAGCCTTTCCGTCACCCTAAGTCGGGCCTCATCCGTGAATAATCTCCCAGGCAGATTTCTCAAAACCCCAGAGTTACCCAGACATACCTCTGCCACTCATTGGCTAGTCTCTGCGCAAAAATTGATCTGGGGCTTGTATTTCCCGAGTGGAGAAGATGCTTGGGTTATTCAAACTGTACCGGATGCTACCACCAGGATGCGGAACACAGCACCTTCCACCATTAGCTTACTTACAGTATCTGCTACGCTCTGGGCCATCAATCTTATCATAGAGACGGTAAAAGTCAACATTGACACGTGATAATTTTTGAAGAACTTGTGCGTGATACTTAAAAGTCGATAAATGTCAGCCAATCCAGGGTTAAGAAGTATGCCGAATTTTTATCATTACACCCACGTAGTATCTAGGAATCTGATAGTGAACCCTTAACTCTACGAACCAATAGTTTTATCTTGAAATATGTGTTGCCGAGATTAAGTCTCATGTGGGTTGTGAAGGTTTCATGTCGATAATTCGGCAGTTTCCCCTAGTGTCCAAGACGGCATAAAGAAATCAAGCTGGGCTAATTTGCAACACACATATCCTACCGAGACATCCGCGGTAAATCTCAATAACCCTTGTTATCTCTAGGTGTGAATGAGGGAAGAATTTAGGGAGGAAGCTATATCTTCAGAATAATTCCTGTCAGTAGTCATAGGAGCCGCGCGTCTGGAGGCCTTTAGTTGGGCTCATCATTACCATACACCCGCTGGTTGCCTTCATTTCGTCGTCTGGAAATGGGAAACACTCTAGGGCTAGTTGCTCCTCGAAGATTCTGACGAAGAAAGACCATGGGAGTTGATATTGATAGATATAAGCTAAGAATAAAATAGGTGAAAGACTCTGAGTTTATGCAAAATTCGTGACTAATTGGATGGGATGACTTGTGCATCCTTCACCAATAATGACAGGAAATTGTCGATTTTGTATCCAGATTGGTACACCTACGTACAATAAAATCACGTACAATGGTAGAAAAATTTTAGGCTAACGACATAAGCTCATAGCGTCATCAGCGTCGCTCGATCTAAAGTGCTCTTGTAATCCTACCAAGCGAGTAATTACCCATTAATTTACGTCTACAGAGAATAACATTTGCAGACAGTGGTAAGAAGAAATACCCTCGTTACAGCGTAAAATACATAAAATTAGTACAGAGCAAATACTGATAGAGATACACACAACTGCCTATCTCAGTCCCGGTATCTAGGCCTCGCCTGGCTGGGGCTGCAGGTTTTTTGAGACTTTTGCCCGCGCACGCAGTTTCCATTGCTACCATTTTAATATTTTTGTGCAAGAGCTTCTGTGGAATAGGTGGCTGAATTCCACGGGTAAACGCTGAGCTGAATGGCTGTTCATCACGGGCAATATATCAATGATCTTTGAAGTAACAAAAGAGGCAAGGAGCACTGTATAAAGTATGGCTTGGGTCAGAGAGGAGCCCAATGTGCTAGATAGTCACAGACTCAAGAAGCACAATAAATAACACACACACCTGGCTGTTGGTCGGGATCAGCTGGATAAAATTTATGCGTACAGTGCTAGTTTGTTGAAGATCCCAGTCATGTGACAAGGTCATTGGTATCATAGAGACAGGAAGATAGGCCATTCACTTGAGGATGCCAGTATTTTGGTCCAGTGTACTAGAATTGGGTCTGTGACTATTTAGCACATTGGGCTCCTCTCTGACCCAGGCCACACCTTGTACAGTGCTTCTTGCCTCTTATATTCCTTGAAGTATCATTAATATATTTTCCGTGATGAATAGCCATTCAGCTCAGTCTTCACCAATGGAATTCAGCCATCTTTTCCACGGAACCTTTCAGCCAAAAAAGTAAAAATGATAGCAATGGAAACTACGTGCGCGGGAAAAAGTCTTAAAAACTTGCAGCCCCAGCCAGGCGAGGCCTAGACACCGGGACCACGTGAGGTGCGCATATTCATCTATATCTCCCTTCTTTGTAACAGTCGAGGTCGACTTGATCCAATTCGCCATATCCGTATCGGGTGTTAGGAACGCTCTGGAAACTTATCTGATAGCTTTTCCTCCATGATGATAGTGCTAAAGGGATGTGTTGAGGGATGAAGACGATACAGACCGGGAAAGCGATTGGGAATCTTTATCTAAGTGAGGATGAAGGTTTTTCTCAATCCCGGCCCTTCAGATTCTATGGTGAGATCTGGAGGCAACGAGGGAACACCACTAGCAGATGTCAGGTTTTCATAGCCCTGATTTACCAATTATGAAAGGGTAATGACAAAGACTGAATGTCTGTCCGCAGCGTCCTCTACAAACCTGGGAGTACAATATTTCCCCGGAGCCAAGATTCAGTCATACACTAACGGTCGATTCGATTTCTTCCTGGCTGAGAGACTTGTCAGAAGGAGTAATGCTGGGCTGATTTTGGTCGGAACTCTCGGATTGCACAGATTTTCTGTCCACACAAATCACGAAGGAAATAATCAAACGATCCAAGGCGGTATTAGGTTAAGCTGAATATCACAATCTCCCTAAATACATCAAATAATATTTTGACTCTCTATTTAATGCCGAGAAAATCAAAACACGACCTGTGACCCTAACCACCAATGCTGCTGTTGACGGAGAATTACGGGAGGACGCCAAACTTAGATTGCTGAGTAGAAACGGCTGACGAAGAATCAAAGCCTACGGGTGAATATGGGAGATATTCTGGGCCGTTAGAGCTTTGGAAGAGGTTGGAATAGAGAACCCAAGATTGGGAATGATATCGCCTACCGGGCTGGCGGAGGCGGTCAATTCGTCACAATTCTTATGGCTTTCTGAGGCTCTAAGCAGAAATTGGGACTCAATTTTTATTATGCTTAGCTCTTTTGAGGGCGCCGGCACGTGGGGTAGTCTGTATGTGCTGAGCTAACTGGCAATTTACCCTCGTAGTCTAATGTTGTACGCCGGCATGATGTTCAGTGGCTCAAATCATTTATTATGATGGGATTTCTTCAGCTTAGCTTTCCAACTTGGAGTACCCAACATTACTCCGATGGCCCTAAAATCTTAGAAGAGGTCAGATTTTGTCTTTTCTGATAATTAAGTCTAGCCTAGAATGAAGATATTATCTCTGGGTCTGAAGAAGGCCTTATCTGTGTGCGTTTATTCTTCATTTTTCTTGCCAAGACTATGGTTCTGTTGTAAGAGTGTTTTTTCGTGGGATCGAAATAACCTCAATTCATCTGCCGACGAGATTGCCAGAAATAGCTGTCGGCGGCGAGTCCGGAGAAAACAAGCTCATGTCAATTGATCGCAACGTCTTCGCCTCTTGACATTGGCTGTCTGCAGCGCCCTGTCTAGGGCCGTGAGTAGCTATCCGTTGGAGGGGACATTACTTAATGCATGAGACTCAGGGATGATAGTTGCGCCCTGTTTATAAAGAGAAGATTCGGAAGAGAAGCATTTTGGAAGAAGAGACATGGGGCTGGGGTTTCAGGGACGTGTGCAGCGGTACCGGGCCCTTCAGGCTCTAGCGCCGTTGTTGATCATTATTCCTGATGTTTTGGCTGACTCGGGAGATCATAGGTCAGATCGGTGCGCACTAATATTAGAGAGCATTTTGCTCAAACTCAACCCGCCCATTGAACCGTTGCACCCCATGCACGCGCCGAAGAAGACCCCTGAGCATCAACATCACTCCGACATGTCCCGGCATCCTGCCAACGTCCAGTAATTTCCATAGTGTCAGCAAATGATTTCCTCGAGAAGATCCTGGCCTATGGCTCAGTTTTAGTCGGAGTGCGTTGAGTTAGATATGCACGGAAAGTGAGGACTAGACAGAGTAGGAGAATGCTCTATTTTTGATACAGGTTAGTTTCGTAAACGGCCCAGCAGCCCCTTATCCACGGATCCGTCCTGAGGGGGATCAGCCCGAGTCCCGCGAACTAGCTCATGATTCGGATGTAGGCGCACATGGAGTCTCTGAGCTTGAGCCGTAGATGGATCGTTGGCCTAGCCACTACAGAAGCGTTTATTAAGCAGGATTCCTAGATATTTGCGGACAGCTGCGCCCTCGCTTGTGCCTGGTTGAAGCCCTGCACAGCACGACTTACATCCTCAGGCCTTCATATCAGCATAGCGTATGCGAGACCAGTTGGAAAGTCATGGGAAAGTGTAATGAAAGCAGTTAGAGAGCCAGCTCCACCACAGCCCGTAGCTCATGCCCCTGTAAATCTAGCACGAAGGTGCCAATAGCGTCATCACGATGCCGCCCAAATGCTAGGTCGTGAGCGCCGACCCACAAGGCTGGCTCGTTGGTTTTCGCGCACGGCACATGTTACGCCTCGCGGCATTTTTTCATCGGCCGCGGACCACTAAGTCGAGGCTAACACCAGGGACTACGTCTGCACCAAATCTTCTATCTCTTGAATATCCATGAGTTTCAGAAATCAGACCCACTGAGTCTTTACATCATCACGTGACTACTGTTAGATAATCTAGCGGCGACAGCTTCGTGGCAAATAATGTCTGATTCTCAATCTCGCCTGCCTCCCACCTTCACACAACTCTGTGACATATGAGTCTCTCTCATACACTGACCAAATGCGAAGATATCTAAACATGAATGACTCTTGCGGGTCATGATATAACTTTCGAAAACAGTGTTATTCAATAAGGAATTCAAGAACCCACCCAAAACACAACAGTTACTTGAAAATAGCTCATCTCAGCTCTTTTTCCCGTCCGCTTAGCAGGGCTTTGAGAAATCTGCAGCGTGATGATATGACCATGTTGCAAGTGCTGTAGCACGTGATGAATATGATATGGCCACAATCATTAATTACACTTCGGACCTGGATGATTCCTGTGAACCTGCTCTCTAGCCTAAAGGTAGCCAAGACGCTGAACGGGGCAGTATGGTGGAGACTAACTCTATCCTTAGCTGCCTTTAGAGATTTCTATTCGTCCTTGTCATTATCGGGACTCAGCTTATCTTCCTCAATCTAGCCCGTGGCCTCCACTCTCCCCCAACTCCCTGAACGTTTCCAATGGTCAATTGCCAATTTAAACACACACCCCCTAGCTTGATTCATTGACGATGTAAACCCCACTAGCCCGTATCCGACCAGGAGTGGAACGTCAGACGAGCCAAGAAAGGTAAAGAGCGGAAGCGGAGGGGTACAAAATCCTCGCCTGCCCTTGAATTTCGGAGCAAGCGCAATCCCCAAGACTCGCTCTCCTGTCATTGAAGCCGAGCTCTCGGTTTTCCGATACCAGAAATATCTGGCTTTCCTTGTCCTACGACGACGCTGCCCTCACATTGCTTAGTGGGGAACAAATATTGCGAAAGTGCCACCTCCGTTTCAACAAGTGTGTCTATACAATCAAAGTTCTTGACCAATGTCTACTTCGGCTCCCAAAGATCTGCAGGAAGCTACTGCTACCACTTCTTCAACCACCGAAGTAAACCGAACGCCTATCGCTTCCGACGAAAATCTGGCATGTCAATGGGAAAGGTGTTCAGAGCGGTGCGTCTCTGCAGAGGCGCTCTTTGTATGGAAAAGTTCCACCTCGATGATGAGGACCTCGGCTGACCGTCACTTCAGGAGCATATATGCGAGAAACACGTAGGACGGAAGAGTACAAACAACCTAAATCTCACATGCGGCTGGGCTTCTTGCCGTACCACAACGGTTAAACGAGACCATATAACCTCCCATATTCGAGTTCATGTTCCGTTAAAGCCTCATAAATGCGATTTCTGCGGGAAAGCTTTCAAACGTCCCCAAGACTTGAAAAAGCATGTCAAGGTACGTTTCTTCCGTTTAAGAGTACTAAAACTCAATTTACTTTCAGACCCACGCAGACGATTCAGTGCTCCTTCGATCACCCGAGGCCGACGGCAGAATAAACTCAAGAGGCATCAGCAAAGGTAGGTAGAATTTCAACATATCTGTAAAGTGATCTGACACAGGCCAAAGTAATCGATGCACTTCAATATCGAGGAGCATCATCGGCCTTTTACGACCAGGGGGTCACAATGCCTGGTAGTCACTCTCCTTTTGGTAACGTACATCAATCTGCACAAAATAGCTTCTATGCGCAGCAGCAACAGGCCCCATATGGCCCCGTTTACTATCCAAACAGTCACGGATCCGATAACACGCACCACAACTCGTACGATAATCGCAAGCGTGGATATGAGACATTAAATGAGTTTTTCGGTGACGCGAAACGCAGACAAATTGATCCAACCTCCTACACACAAGTTGGTCAGCGTTTGATGGCCTTACATGGCCTCCCTATAAACCAAGGTGGAATGTCGGACTACATGCCAACTAGCTCCCCTTTGGTCTCTGTCGTCAATCAAAATGGAGGTAATCAGGGTAATATCCCTCAACACCAATACGCTTTACCCCTCCCAAATTTACGGACGAAAAATGACCTTATGAATATCGACCAATTTCTTGAGCAAATGCAATCAACCGTTTATGAGAGTTCCAATGCAGCAGCAGCAGCAGGTGTTCATCAACCAGGTGCTCATTACACTCATGCTGGCGTGAACTTTCGCCAAAGCCAATCGCCTCCTCACACCAATATTAACCACCTTGGACAAATGAACGGCAATGTGTCATCTCCTCATTCCACGTCTATGATGTCTAGTCATCCATCAACACAGTCGAACTCCACCAGTACTCCTGCCCTAACTCCATCTTCAAGCACTTTGTCTTACACATCCGGCCACTCGCCGGTATCATCGCACGACATGTCGCCTGTAGCTAGGAATAGCACAATCACATCGTCATCATATCCGAGTCTGCCTTCAGTTTCTCTTGGATATCAATCTCATTCAACCGCCACCCCCACATCAGCATTAGGTCCAAATTTTGAAAATGATTTGCGTCGTCGCTATTCAGGTGGAATGCTGCAGCAGAGTTCTAAACCCGGAGTACGTGAGGAATTGAATACTGTAGATGATTCGCCTACCTCCACTTCTGTTGATAAAATTGATGGTGTGAGTCACGCTAATAATATTGATCCAGCTCTCTCGGAAGTAGGCTCACCAATCGAACAATCAGATAGTGATGATAGCGCTCGGGACCGAGCAGAAGAGACCTGGATAGAAAACATTCGTGTGATAGAGGCCTTACGTATGATGGTTAGTGATCGATTACGGCGCAAAGAATATGAGATTGATGATGACGTTTCAATGACTGGTGTTTTGCAAAAAATAAGTGAGAACGAGGAAAGGAGAACCGAGATCTTATACCCTACACTGCGTGTTTCTGATGATTAAATGAGACTTTTATGTATGTTGCACCAAGGCTTGGAGGTAGGCGTTAGTGGGAGGCGGCAGGCTTGCTGCGGATGCTACTGTTATTTTATCAAGTAGATCACACGGAGTTACTCCTTAAGAGTAATGGCGGTATGAATACACAATAAATATTTATTATCTATCAGATTTCATTGTAAAAGTTTCCACATCAGCTCTTGTTCAAACAAAGATGCCCCGCAGGTAGAACGCACGAGAGTCACTCTAACTGAAGTCAACGGTTCAGCACCTAGACTACGGTGAGCAGGTGACAAATGAGGCCCGCATAATTCGGCTGCACTAGAGTGCTCATTGCATTTAGTGGGTACATTGAAGAGCTTCATGTGACGTTCGATTCTCTCGTCAATCAGCATCATTGCTACAAGATAAAGAGACGTTTTGATTGCAGGCAATGACGAAGAAATGATTAGAAACTTGTTGCATGATTTTCGCTCGGTCTAGGGAGGTGGGAGGATATAAACTCAATTTTCCCCGTGCAAGAGACTTGCAAATATCAGATTTCTGTGATTGACCTTGTAGGAGGAGACTAGAGAGTCGAAGTCAAGTGACATGTGAGGCGAGCCTCGCTGTGTCGGACCGGATCTGGAGGGGAGAGGTAAAGGGTGCGGGGCGGAGGGCGCTGAACTGGCTATTTTATAGCAGCGATGCGAGCGTAGGCCAGCCTGAAAAATCGGCCTCGCACATTTAGAGCTGAGGCCGAGTTCGATCTCGGCGCCGAGGAGCACCAAGCGGGCGGAAGCGCGAGTCGGGAAGGAGGCAAGGCGCATCTCGGCGCGATGGCAGCGAGGCTGTGGGCCATCGCCAAGCTGAGTAGGTCCCTTCTGGTCTAGGGTATGTGGCCATAGCGAGGAGGCTGCGTCCGCCCTCTCATTGACCCGTTCTGTTCAAATCACGTGTAGGCTCGGATATGGGACAAGGAGACAAAGCTATTCGACGCCATAGAGATAGCTCCTGTCGCGCGTAACACGACTATTCAATCACTAGCCCTGATGCTCCATACGCTGGTGATTCCACCTCGGTGATGTGAGCAATCCACCATGATAGGATCAGGATCCTGGCGAGGAAGCGATTTCAGCCCTCACTTGTGGAAAATCAGCCTGTGACGTCTTTCACTCGCCAGTGCCCCTGGGATCCTCTGAATCCTCTACATGGACAAGGCCAGTCGAAGCTTTCTTAGGATACCACCCACCCACATGCGAGCCAGCCCACCACGAAACGTGACCATCGTCAGCCGTCGCGCTTTGGTCCGTTCTCGCCCTCGACTCGCGGCCACACCCGTAACGTATCTTGAGTAGGAAGCTAGTGCTACTGCTGCGGCCCCGAATTACTACGACGGCGCCAGATATTTACGTGTCTCCGGCCGGACGAGCAAGAATTTCTGCAAGAAGAATTGGCCATCGGATTGAATGGCGCTTGATACCCAAGGTCGCGCATATTGCCGTGCCCGATAAATTGCCAAGCGTAGCGATGCCATGAGTTCGCCTTTTGTGCGCTGAAACCAAGTGACAGTCCCCTCAGCCTTTCACCCCGGGCAGTTATCTACATGCTGCATCCGTCTCAGCCCAAAGTCCCTCTTCATCAAACCTTTAACTTGGCAAATCCATCTCGTCCCACACATATGCACACTTGCGCAGGGTCTAGTGTGAGAGTCGGAGTACAGCTTCGCAAGTAGCAGCGCACGACAACGGTTCCCCGGTCTCAAGGTAATGCGGTGATGCTAGATAGAACTGTATAATATTCCATTCACTGCAAGCCCACAGAGTCTCGCAATAGTGTGCGCACAATTCTTTCACTCGCCATATGTTCGTGCCCATTACTGTTGGAACCTTCTAACATGCAGGGACAGCTGGAGTAATCTATACGCTTCTATTTCATGGGCGTGATCCAAGCTATAAACCCCTGCTCTTTACTTGGGATTTGGTGGTTTGCCGTGTCTCGTGAGTTATGGCTGGTATGGATTCTTTTTACATTTCGCCCCGACTATTTCCTGACGAGTTAATCTAAACCTCGAAGATCCTTGCTCGCAAACTCAACTATCGTGGATATTCTCGCAGGACTTTCCTCATGACTTTGGCGGCATCGTCATAGCCACTGATATAGAATGGACTAGACGGGTCCCGGTCTCCGAGTCATGGAAATGATGAGTCAGTGGGGATAATGCCTTGGCATTGGGTCGAGTAACGCATCAATTAAAACCATCGTCCTTTCGCCACAACTTCTTGTCTGCCATCTAGAGCAAGCTGTATTGAGCGTCAAGGCAGGCACACCACCTCTGATCGCTGGTCAAGGTAGTTTGTTTTACTGATGTTTGCTATTTACGTTCTACGGCTGTCTGCTGGCTTGCATCTCAATCTGTAGAACTATCGATACTGACGTATCCACCATGAGTCCTAGCTTCCTTCTCTTGTAGCGGGCCTTTAGTATGCAATTACCAATAAACCCAATCAGCTCGAAACGAGGACTTTCAATCTGACTTAGTTCTGTAATTTCGGTTTATTCCATCTACTCTCGAGGCTGAGGATTTTGCTGGTTTCAAGCTTGTCTTGGATTGATAGTGGTCATGCAACTGAGATTTTTGGATTTATTCTGTGCTTATTTTTAGAACATCAGATTTAAGCATGAAGATGATATTAGATTGAGCTGCGCGCTAATCTGACTCGGAGGGATCCTCTTGGTTAATGGTGATATTAAGATTGCGGCAACGAAGCATACTCCTGAGCTGAGTGTCAGCCGCAAGGTAGAGTAGATCGATAGAACTAGGTTTCCCTTCCGAAAATTCCGTCAAGTGAGCCTACGAGAACTGAGGCTTCTTACTGGCGAGATGGCGGTCATGGTCTTTATCTTCGCCTTGTAATCACGTCGTACTAGGCTGCTGTCGACTTATGTAGGCATGGGAAGGCTCAGGAGGGCCCGTTACTTGCTTCTCCACAGCGTCTTATCGTCGAAGCCTGTGTGTATAGTATGCACTCTTTAGTTTGTTGTTTATTGTACTACTTAAGTCTATGAAAATCTGTTGGAAATTGAGATACAAAGTGTTGTGGGAGTACGAGCCCTCCATTTCGTCTAGGTTCCCGACACGAGCTTGCGAGTAGTATCGAGGTTGGAATGAGCAATAGCGCAGTTCTTCAGGCTACCTAACGGATACTTGAGTATTTGTATGGCGTGGGCATAAGAAGGTTATTGGGGGTCTGCTATGCCTAGATGGCGCCACAATCGTTTATGCTATGGCTTGGGCTCTGTGTCGCTAACTCTTGTTCTTACAGCGCACACCACCAACTTTTTTATCAGCAATCCAAACTTGAGATTCATATAGACAACTTCTTCTTTCATTTCAGGAATATTGCGCCCATTTTATTGCACGATATATCTATTACCATCTAGCGCACCGGGCTCTTCTCTGACCCAGGCCATACCTTGTCAGAGCTCCTGACCCCTTTCTTTACGATGAAAGATCTCAGACATAATGCCCATGATGGGTAGCCATTCAGCCCGGTATTTGCCTGTACAGTTCAACCACCATTTCCACGGAACTTCTACCCCCTTAGAACAGAAATAAAGAATGGTAGCAATGAAAACTGCGTGCGCGGAAAAATTTCTCAAAAAAGCTTCAGCTCAAGCCAGGCGAGGCCTAGACTCCAGAGCCACAATAAGTGTGCATATTCATCTATTTATTTCCCCCCTAGCAGAGAATGAAGCCAACTTGATCCAGTCCACCATCGCCGTATCGGCTGCTGGGTACGCTATAGGAACTTACCAGATAGCTTCTCCTCCGTGATAATGATGCGAAGGAGATGTCATGAGAGTCGAATGTAATAAAGACTATAAGACTATTTGGAAATATCCATCAAAGTGATGACAAATATTTTATTCAATACTGGCTCCGCTCAGTCCCAAGTGAGAGCCAGAGGTTAGTAGGGGATACCATTTACAGATGTTGGGTATTCATCCCGCAGCACATTTCATTTCGTTTACCCCCCTCCCCCCCTTTACAATCAGTCATAAATAGACTCCAATTTACAGCGTCAGGTTCCGGGCCAATCCTTTTCTTTCGAAAGATTTACTCAAAATTCAGCTATGTGGCTAAAGACATGATTATTGCCGTGTTTACATGCTGGATGTTGCGGGGTCAATTGATGATGTACCGGTCGGTAAAATTAAAAATTTGTCGGTCAAAAATATGTCTATCCAACCTGTAAAACCTCTCTCCAAGACTCACCTCTGTCCCAAAGGGCGGAGAGAGGTCGCTGACAGAAGCCCTAATGTCAACGGCCTCCGCAGCAGATGACAGGAACCAGGAAGCCATCATGATATTCCGAAATATTGCTTGTATCCTTGATGACGCAGTTAGTGTGGACCACCCTCCATAATATCTCCTCAAACCCTTTGCGAATTGATCCTATACTTTACAAGCGTTGCTCGCCGCCATTTCAACAGTCACTTCAGAGGCTCAACACGCCTCCCCAACCCATAATCTGCACCTAAACCAGCTTTAGTAGCCCTGGAAAAGAAAGCCATTACTACTGTTGCCCCAATGACGACACTTCTCAATCGCCCTTCAACTTTCGTGGCCGCATTTTTGTTACTGCCAGCACCAGAGCAGAGGCAAAAGCCAGTCGTTGCTACCAAACCACAGAATTACCCTAAGAAAATAGAAACTTCTTCTATCTTCCTCAATCGCAGTGTTCCTGTCTATAATAGACAATTTATGAAAGATGCTCCAGGTTATGCCTTACTAAACATGTCGCCATACGCGATCATGTAACAAATTAACATTTTGTTTAAAGAGAAACTAGTTTATAAAGCTCAGCTGATAAAGAAGGATTTCGAGATCTAATCAACGTCCCTTGCTGCCTAAGAGTCTCTCGCCGTTCATATGAATTATATTGGCAACTTTCTATCACGTAAAGGCAGCTTCAAAGTAGAAAAACCTAAAAATCAAGTAGCACATCTTATCATCGGCGTCC